CGTGCGCTCCACTTCAGGCGGCCCAGAGTTCACAGGTTTGGATCCTGGGTACGGACCTACGCACCACTCATCAAGCCATGCTGAGGCAGTGTCCCACATAGAGCAACTAGAAGGATGTACAACAATGATGTACAACTATCTACTGGGGCTTTAAGGAGAAAAAAAAAGGAGGAAGATGGGCAACAGATGTTAGCTCAGGGCCAATCTTCCTCAAAGAAATTAAAAAATAAAAAAATAAAAATAAAAAAAATATCAAATACCCTTCATCCTAGTGATTCCACTTCTAGGTATATATACTAGAGAAAATCTCATACACACAGTGATTAACTTACAAATATGTTCATAGCAACTATATTCAGTTAGGGTAGGATAAACTGTGGTAACAAGTAGGCAGAAAAAAAATCAACGGCTTAAAGAACAAGAAGTTTCTTTCTTTCTCCTGTAACAGTCCAGGGTAGGGGTTCAAGTTGACAGCAGCTCTGCTTCAAAGAATGATGGCTCTGCCATCTTTATGTGCCTTCCAAGATCACCTGGAGCATTACGGTAACACAGAGGTTGACAAACTTGGTCCGTGGACGAATCTAGCCCACTGCTTGTTTTTGTAAATAAAGTTTTATTGGAACACAGCCATTTCCATTTTTTATATATTGTCTGTGGCTGCTTTCAGCTACAATAGCAGAGTTGAATAGTTAGAACAGGAGCTGGATGGCGCACAAAGCCTAGTATATTTGCTATCTGACCCTTTACAGAAAACCGTTTGTTGACCTTTCCATAGCAGTCAGCAAGGATGAAGACGGGCATGGAAGAGTACATGTGGAAGGTTTTAATAGGACAGGAATATTACAATGAGGATTGGGAGATATAGTCTAGCTGTGCACTCAGGAAGAAGGGAAGAGTGCATTTTAGTGTTTAACTAGCTGCCTCTGCCACAGTGGCATTCTTCATAACAGCCCCAAACCAGAAACACTCCGAATGTCCATCAGCAGCAGAATGGATAAAAAGTCGTGAATGCATACGATGGAATACTACATAGCAAAGAAAACAAATGGCAGCTACATAAATCATCAACATAGATAAATCTCACAGACATAATATTGAGTAAAAAGAAGTCTTAAAAAGAGTATATGTAGTATGTTTCTATTATTATAAAGTTCAAAAGCAGCAAAACTAAATCACATTTTTAGGATGCATATATAAATGATGAAATATAAAGAATAGAAAAGAAATAATTATGAGAATAGTGGCTGGCTCCTGGAAGCGAGAAGAGGTTGTAATTGGGGATAGATATTGGTGATGCTTCTGGGTGGTAATGCTGCCAGTACTTTATTTCTTGATCTGAAAAGGGCTTACTTTGGTATTTTATTTGTCATTTATTCTTTAAACTAAACTTAATGTATAATATAGCTCAGCTATTTTTAAAATGCAAAATAAAACAAAGGGCCCGGAAACAGTTTTCCTGAACATTGAACTCTAAGAAGTTATCTTATCATGAGATACTCATTGACAGACAAGCAGACATAGACCCAGCTGTATGTAATTAGGACATGATCCATTATGTTCAATTCCATCTTTGTATGCAAAAATATATGTATGTTTATTTACATATATTCACATATATTTATAGATATAAACATATACATTTATATATGAAATTTATCAGCCTAATGGGTAATATTTTTACCAGCACTTTTATTTTTAAAATGTGTATGTTATCTTTATGTGTGTGTGTATAAATAAGAGGGATATGTAGTTCTATGAATATGTATAACTGTGTGTAATTGTTGGTATACTTAATATTAAATCAAATTTCATAGAAGGAACGAGTATAATTAAAAGTTGATATGTAGCTTCCTGGAAACTTAATAAGGAATAGAGTTTAGAGATTTAAGAAGAAGAATCAACTTGCCCTATGCCTTAGAGCAGTCATTCTTAATTTTTGGGGAGGTCCATACCCTTTCGGAATTTGATGAAAGCTATGTTCCCTTTCCCATGCTCAGAAAAATGAATGAGCACATACACACACATTATTGTGCCTGCAATTATGAGGGATTCACACATTTGAAGTACATCTGTGGATTCCATAGAAGTCTCTGGACTCTTAAAATTCCTTCTTTAAATTGTCTCCATCAAATGTCAACTGTCTCAACCACACTTTTGACAGAAGTATCAAAACAGAATGAATAAGACTAATGCTCAGGTCTTCTGGAATAGTGACTGGAAAGATATTTGTGTTCTAGCACTACCAGGCATTTCTTCTTCCCTCTCCCCTCACCCACACATACCTCTGAGTTGTTTCTATTCTTGTTTGCCCATTTTAATTTCCCCTCTCATCACCCAGGATTCTACCCAGACAATTGTAGTGAACTGCTTTACCTGCCTCCATTCTCCCTGTTCCACTCTCTTCTCAATTGTGCCACAAGAATAATCTCTCCAGAGACCACTTTGGCTTTTTTTGTTGTTGTTGCTGCTTTGTTTAGTTTTGAGGCCAACTACCACAATGTTTAAGAGTTTACAATACAAAGTCAGAGACCTTGATTGCATTCAAAACCCAGCCTTGTTCTTACTAGCCGTGTGATATGGGACATGCTGCTTGACCTTTTCACAGTTTCCACTTCCTTTTCCATGAAATGAGGACAGTAATTTAAGGACCGATGTAAGGATTAATGAGATAATGCATGTAAAGTGATTTAAAGTGATTAGCAAGGTACAAGGACATAGTGATGCTCAATAAATATTTCCTGAATACATTAAATATTTAGCCTTGAGGCTTTTAATTCAATGCTTTTGTTAATTCCATGCTCCTTATTCCTTCTTATCAAAATTGCACCTCCTGCATCAAATCTTCCCTAATCCCATAGCCAGATGTGATCTCTCCCACTTCTTAATTCCTCAGACTTTTTATACTATTTACTATGGCAGTATAGCATAAAGGTGAAAACTCTGGGATCAGATTGTCTGGGCATGAATGCTGGTTTTATCACTTACTAGCTGTGACCTTGGGCAGCTCGTGTGAGTCCCCTATGGCTTATTTTTCTTATCTGTAAATTAGATATAAAAAAATAGTATCTATCACAAAAGGTGTTTATGAGGATAAATATAACTAATTTCTAGAAATGGAAAACTATAGAGATAGAGCTGGAGGGGGATAGAAATAGACCAGACAGGGAGAAAAGATTGACTACAAAAGGGTGTGAAAGAACTTTTTGGAGTGAGGAAATACTCTAAAACTGGATTGTAAAAATAAGTAAATACCGTGACAAAAATTTTTTAAACTGGGTTGTGGCCATGATTTCATACATTTACGACTATTTATCAAACTGTAGTTAAGATGGTTCAATTTTATGGTATTCAAATTATACCTTAATGAAGCTGTTTTTAAAAAAAAGAGAGAATATAGTATATGGAAAAGGCTTAGAACACATAGGCACGTAGTAAGTGTACTGTGTCTGTTAGTTGTTATTATTACCTGATACGGCCTTGGGTTATTTATGATTCTTTACCAGATTGTTCAGATTATCTCAGTTTCTTACTCTCACATCTTCCTTCTCCTCCTCCTAAACTAAGCCTGAGCTCAATCCTGGCACCAGGATTGCCCATCATTAGGTACTCAGGCAATATTTACCGACTGAATGCACTGTAAGGAGTTTATTTCTAGTATGAGAATGTACAGGTTTGAGTATACAAAGAGGACTGAATTGTACGTTTAAATGGCTGGTCTTTTACATCTGTACATATAGAGAACTGTCAATTACTGAGTACAGCTTTTGAATACCAAGGATCATGGTAATTGTTCTGACACTAATCTCTGTAGATATAAGGCTCTTGCTTTCTCTAGGCCTGATTTTCTCTGGTCACACCTAAGCTGTGCCATTCCCAGTATTCTTGGCATTTTAGGGTCTGGTATTCCCAACATGCCAAAGCTGTCTTTGTGTTATTTGAATATTCATCCTTTCTTCAAAGAAATAGTAACTCTTCCCAAATAACTTCTTTAAGCAGCCTGGGCAACAGTTACCCAGGAACTAGAAGAAAATTGTGAATGAGATATTTATAGTATTCCAAGAAAACAACAAGGATATTTTGTGTTTTTTGGAAAATAATATTAAAAAGAAGGAGAAAGAGAAGGAGAAGAAAAATTATTATTATTAGAAATAGTAATAATTAGAAAACAACAAAAACAAAAAATCTTTTTGTCCATCTCATCTTATTATTTAGCACTCCAGAAGGAAAAAGGAATTATCAACTAAACATTGCCTGTTAGAAAGGAACAGAGGCCAAATCAGCCCTGGAATGAATAGTTAGTTGAGCATCTCTTCCAGTAGGATACTTGTTTTAGCCCAATGCATAGTTCTTTAAAAGAAACATTCAAGATTTCTGTCTACCTTGAAAGTTTTAGGGGGAGGATCAATTTAATTTGGGGGGTGTGGAGATACAAAGTGCTGGAATTTTATATTTTGTTAAAGAGAAGAAATCCCTCAGCTAACATCCGTGCCAGTCTTCCTCTATTTTGTATATGGGACGCTGCCACAACATGGCTTGATGAGCAGTGCATAGGTCCGCGCCCGGGATCCGAACCTGCGAACCCCAGGCCGCCAAAGCAGAGCACACAAACTCAACCACTACACCACTGGGCCAGCCCCGAAAGGTCTTTTCTTATGATAGTTAAAGGGAACAAAATTAAGCAGTCTACATTCTTGTGCATTTTCACAGTAAACCCAAATCACCAGGAATATGACAGGCCATCTAGTTTAAAAACAAAATCTCTAGTTAGTCTGTTATTGCACAAATGTACTTGTTTAAAGTAAGATATTGTGGATATCTGATGTTTACACAACCAAAACAACCCACTGAGTTTTCCATCTGCCATTGTTTAATTTCAGGGGAAAAAATGGCTTACTTTTAAAGCTTGGGGAATTCCTGTCATCTCTAATATATTACTCAGATTGGACTTTTCCATTTCCTTTTATTGAATGCCCTAGTCATTTCCTTTATTGTTCATACAGGGACAACATCAGGAGTTAGAAAAGATGCGTCCACATCTCCAATGACAACAGGAAACCAAAAGCAGCTTGTAACCACAACCACATCACCGTTCCAACACAACAACTCCCGGTGAGCTTCAGGGATTCTTTGCTTTAACATTTTCCAGATAAGAGCATTTTTTGAGGTTCATTTAATAAGGAGTGGGAAAATCTTGACACTTCTTAGTGGCTCTTGCTCAGGAGAGAGGCCCTTATTTGGAAGCATCTAGATTTGGCCAGGTGGAACTCATGGAACTCTTTCCTTTATACCTGCCCTTTCTTCGCTGATAATGGTAATTGGCGAGGATTTCCATAGAAACGCAAAGCTAATCCTATCTTTCATCAGAAAATCTGCTTAGCAGCAGGTCCTTCCCAATTTATCACAGAATGGTTATACACTTGGACTAAAAGTTTAACTAACTGAAGTAGTTGATATTGAAAATTGTCATGGGTTGTATACTACAGTTAAAGGACTGTCAACATTTACTTATGCCAGAGATATTTGAGGAGTTAATACTTTGATCAGCCTTTTCTAGAGTCAGGAAAAGAAATATGGTGTTAAAATTTCTCATATCAAATAAAGCCAACTCCCATATTATGTATTTAAGGCTGAATATATAAACATTAACACCAAAAGGGCTTGGTTTATGTTTCCTTGGGCATATGATTGATTGAACACTTAAATTCCTAGCATCTTATCAGATGAATATAGATCTTAAGACATAATTTTAAAGAACTTTTGGGAAATGACTCTAACTCAGTGGATAATAATAATGGCTGTCATCTATGAAACATCCACTATGTGCCCAGCACTGTGCCAGGCCCTTGATATCAAAGGCTTATCTGATTTAATGCAAGATTATCCAATTTACTCTTCCTCACAGCCTTTATGAGGTGGTACTACTGTCATCCTCATTTTAAAAATTAGGAAACTAAGGCTCAGAGAGATTGAGTGACTTGCCTAAGGTCACACAGCTAGTAAGAGGTAGAGCAGCATTTCAGACTCCAAAGCCCATGATCTTAAATATTATAATAGTTGACAACAACAACCTCCCTATTTTGGAGGCCACCTATAATCAAAAGAAAATTTAACTAGTTTACCACGTTCTTTTTCCGTTACTCCTTTCTTTTATTTTTAATGCTGCCATTGTTGGCATTTTGCCAAAGATCCACAGTAAGTTGTGATTCTGAAATATTGATGGGGCTCCCTCCCTGGACCACTTAACATTGTGGCTAAATGCTTCCACTTGAAGATGATCCATCCCAGCTCATCTTGAGAGATTCCTTTGGAAGAATTACAGGTAAAGAGGAGAAACAATCTGGATTTTCAATCTTGGTGAATTCTCCTATTGCTGAAGATTAAAATGAGATCTTTAATGCTACTTTAATATGTTTTTGATGTTTGCGTTTCAGTTTAGAGAGAAGCATGAAAAAGAATAAAATGTTTCCCGAGTACGGGTTTTGTAGAACATCCTCAGCACACATTTTCTAAATGGACCATATCAAGTTTGTAGAGTTTTACAAGCCCAAGTTAAAATTGCTATGAAGACTCATATCTATGGACCTTTAAAAAAGGATTCTTTATCTATTAGCTCTTAATACTGCAGATCAGCTAAATGTGGATTCTCAGAAGCTTCTTAAATAATGAGCATTTGGCTAAATAAAATAATGTATGGCGCACCAGATTTTATCCTTAGAAGTGCATGTTGGCATATTATAGGTCTGTTACACAAAGTGCAGAGTTTAAAGAAAACGATTCAGGACTATGAAAATCAGTTACCAGGAGGGCGACACAGTGGGTGCTTTCCAAATTTCAGAATCAGGATTATTTGAATTGTCTTTATTTAGAAGTGTAAAAAAGGCATTTTTTTATAGACTACTTTTCAGTTACACACAGACTCTTAATGCAAAAGAAGCCTATTGTTCTTCAACCCAACAGACCTTTAAAGGTACTGAGGAGAGCAAGAGTAAACGCCCTTCCCCTGTTCACCTTAAATTCCAAGAATTTCTAGAGTTGCAAAAGAGGATAGGGGTAGGACAGATGCTGGTGGGAGACAGGTTTTCCTTTGTTCTTTGAAAAGAGCTAACACCTAGAAGAATCCCATATCAGTCCATGTGCAGGTGAGAAAACCAGGCGGGGCAAAGTCATCTCTCTGATTCGCAATGTAGCTTGTTAATTGTACTCTCTGCTGCCTGTCAATATAATATGAAATTTTCATTCCCCATTCAAGATAGAAAAAGTTGTGGCTGAAAATGTTAACATTTGCATTTTTATTTGTTGATTTATTTAAAGGACAGCCTCTCCTACAGCAATCCATCACGTGGTGACACCCCAAGTATGAATAATGTATTGTAGACTTGCGGTTACAATGTGTAATAAGTGCTAGAGACAGTAAAGGAATGTTAACTATGTTGCAAATGTAATATTTATTGACTCATAAAGTTTATTGCTTTCAAGGTTCAATAATACTGACCATAGGACATTAATATCACTTATCCTGATTTTAGCTGGGCACCTTTCTATGTAGAAATATTCATCTATCTCATGCTAACAAAATAAATATGTAACTTACAGCACAAGCAAAGAGGGCTTTATAGTTTTCCTTGCTGGCAGCTGCAATGCTTCTTTCTCTCCATTTCACTTCTGGCCTCCAGCACTGATCACACACCCCTGAGCTATCCAAGAGAATAAGCACAGTGGTCATCTTGGCACTAGAGGGTGGCGCCACTTAACGGTGCTATGCATTTCCACTTAGCTGGAATAGGCAACACCCACAGACCACTCCACCTGGAGAGAAGACTAGAGGAGCTTTTCTCCTTGTCATTCTGAACACCTGGTGGGTAGGTGCACCTTCGCTCAAAAAGAAAGTTGAACAAATACTTTTCCTGCCATGCCACTGAGTCCAAGTTTACTGATTCGACTTGATCCTCTAGTCTCCAATAGGAAACCAGAGCTGAGCGGGTTACCAATGAATTTGTTATGAGTACAAATGTTACTGATAATTAACCCTTTTTTGCCTTCCAAAATGGTGTGTCCATTGCCAGCAATAAAGATTGTACAGGAAATATCTGACACTGACAGCGAAAGAAGTAATGTTAATTAGCAACCATCAGCTGTAATTGTCATCCCCATTAAGATGCAGAATTATGTATTTCTTCGTTATAAATAACCTTCCTAATTGTACTTGATGTATGCCAATTTAATCAAAAAGTATACTTGCAACAGACAGATACTTGCATTAATGTAGCTTTGGATCTTCAAATCTTTTATTTCAAATTTGAGAAAAAGAGTCTATTACAGGGCCGGCCCCGTGGCTTAGAGGTTAAGTGAGCGCGCTCCGCTGCTGGGGGCCCGGGTTCGGATCCCGGGCGTGCACCGACGCACCGCTTCTCCGGCCATGCTGAGGCCGCGTCCCACATACAGCAACTAGAAGGATGTGCAACTGTGACATACAACTATCTACTGGGGCTTTGGGGGAAAAATAAATAAATAAATAAATTATAAAAAAAAAAAAAAGAGTCTATTACAGCTGTATATACTTTATAAGTTGATGTCTTCCTATTTAGGTATGTAGATCTGACATATTTTATGTTAAAATGAAGAGAGTATCTTCTGGGATTGTTCAATGAAACAAAAATCTTGTCACTTTTTAAAATACTGGTCGAGTTTCTGTCTCTCAGTCATATGACAACATAGTGATAATTATTCCAAACAGATGAATAGAGGCAAGTATCACGCGTGCAGCAGCAGGATTGCATTCTCAGCCCCAGGAGTAAAAGATTACTAAGGCCTGTTCGTTTTTCCCTGACTCATAAGAGTTATGGATGGGACTCGTGTCCTCTTTTTTTAAAAAATTTCTTGTGAGATGTGAAGAGAGAAAGGCAGATCTCACCAAATCATGCCCAATTAGTGAATTTTTGGAACTGGAGCTTGAGTTAGCCTATTTCTAGGAAGTCCTCTTCACCTCTCTACTCGAGCTTTTTTCGGAAAGATTCTTTTACCACAACACAGAGTTGAAGGTTTTGTTTTATTTTGCTTTATTTGTTTTTGAGGTATGCTGGGGGGTGATTTTGTGGACCTTTTTTTTTGTTGGAGGGGTTGGAAAATATTTGAGTATGTGCTTTGAAGAACTTGATAGCTTATTTGGGGGCTTTTTAAAAAAAATAGTTTAATTTTTTCTTTTTTTAAGACCTTGGTTCTTTGCTGTCAAACCATATGCTTAATGTTTTCTGAAAAATTTGCTGTAAATGCTAAATGCTAAAAATTTGGTGTGAGTTTACACTTTGCTGAGCTTTCTATAGAGCAATTGCCTTTGCACAGTCATGCTCACGAGCAATTGTTTGCAGATGGCTGATTTGAAGGTGGCTTATGAAAGCCCTTTGCCCATTGAGGTTGACATTGGGGGCCCAGGCTCAGAATACTGGGCCATACTCTACCAAGCCCAGGCCAGAAGGATCCAAGTACCCTGCGATCTAGAAGTTAAACTTCTCCTCTCTGTCTTGAAGACAGTATTTTTCTATGTCTTCTTTGAAAAAATGTCTATTCAGATCCTTTGCCCATTTTTCTTTTTGGAGAAAGATTGGCCGCACTAACATCTGTTGCCAATCTTCCTCTTTTTCTTTTTTTTCTCCCCAAATCCCAGTACATAGTTGTATATCATAGTTGTAGAGTTGTAGCTCTTCTGTGTGGGACGCCACCTCAGCATGGCTTGATGAGTGGTGAGTAGGTCCCCGCCCAGGATCTGCACCAGCAAACCCAGGGCCACCGCCCAAGCAGAACATGTGAATTTAACCGCTTTGCCACTGGGCCAGCCTCATATTTTTTAATCAGGTTGGTTGGTTTTTTTGTTTGTTTTTGCTATTAAGATGTAAGAGCTCCTTATATATTTTGAATATTAACAGCTTATCAAACATAGAGTTTGCAAATATTTTCTCCCATTCCATCAGTTGCCTTTTCATTTTCTTGATGATTTCCTTTGCTATGCAGAAGTTTTTGATTTTAATGTAGTCCCACTTGTTTATTTTTGCTTTTGTTGCCTGAGCTTTTGGTGTCATATCCAAAGATCATTAGGAAGGCCAACATCAAGGAGC